TTCTTTCTTTCCTTCCTTCCTTCCTTCCTTCCTTCCTTCCTTCCTTCCTTCCTTCCTTCCTTCCTTCTTTCCTTCTTTCCTTCTTTCTTTCCTTCTTTCTCTCTTTCTGTCTTTCTCTCTCACTTTCTCTCCTTCCTTCCTTCCTTCCTTCCTTGCGAGTTGTCAAGGACAAGTTTGACCCAGGCATTTCCAAAGGGGGACATGGTATCTCCGTATCCCTCTGTTTATGCATCCCTCTGTTTGGGAATGCAAAATTCCAGCACAAGATACAGCCAGAAACAGGAGAAGCCACCAGAAATGGTTGCGCAGGTCATGGTGCGATCCCGCTCCGTGTTCCTGGACGGATCTGCAGATGCCTCCAAGGAAGCTCCTCCATCTCCCCACACCAGCTGGAAGGTCTCCAGGTTCATCCATGACTTTGTGCTGTTTAACAGATGAAACCCCAAGAACCGCCTGCTTCATCCTGGGCATCCTTCATGACCAGCAAACGTTTTTCCAGCCCGTATCCCGTACGGGATGTGCTACCACGGCCGTTTTCCATCAAAACGCTCCGAGACGCCCACAGAGTCCCCAAAACAGGTTCAGCTGGGAAAGAAATACTCTGTGGGCAACGTAGGTGAGAAACCAAAGGGTAGAGGAGCCACAAACCCTTTGGTTTGGTCTCATTCTTGAAGTGGGTACCCACAAACCTGATGAACGTGGAATTTTTTAGCGGTTAAACCGGACTTCCCGGGTGGCTTTTCCTGTTGGATTTGTTTTCCCATTAGCTCCCAAGCGTCCTGCCCGACCTCCAGCCGAACGCGCGGAGGCTCCATGACCGTTTCCTTTCCGCATTTCCCCATTTCTCTCGGGAAAAAGCATTCCCGACGCATCCGTCCGGCTCGTGCGTTTCACCGGATGCTGCACATGCAAACGGGCGAGGAGGAGGAGGAGGAGGAAGAGCGACACTTTTTAATATTGTAACATAGACCTGGCAACTCCCACGTTTGCGAGTTGCCACCGCGTTGGGGTGGTGGGGACAGGGGAGGGGACTTTTTATAAGTAATATTTAATTTATTCTTTAGAGCGGGGTTTTTTTTTTTCCTTTTTTTTCTGGTTTTTTTTGGATAATTTATGATACAAGGGACACCTGGCTGCAAACCCAGGGCAGGTTAAAACTGCAGTGTGCCCGGATCCCCATCCGAAGGGCTTCGTTCGCGAGGGAATTCCGACGTTCTTAGCAGACTAGTGATATGTTTATCCGATAGAGATGGGTTCTACTCCAGCTTTAACTAGCCTTAGTTTAAAAAAAAAAGAAAAAAAGAAAAAAAAAGAAAAACTTGTTGTTCCGAAAGGCCTAAAAAATGGCATTTTGAGCCTATAAACAGTTTCTTTAAATCGTCGGCCTCTAGCGTTGTTAACCAAATTAGAATAGTGACTGCAATATTTAAGTGTAAATCTTGTTCTATGAGAAAGAAACCTGGCTTACGGTTTCAAAATAAAGGACTGTTTCTACACACAATCTTGTATACTGCTACATGAGGCAAAGGGGGTTTTGTAATGCACTGTAGAACAGTCTCAGATTCATTTTTTTATAGAAATGTTATTCCGATGGTGCATTTTTTTGGTTTAATAAATCAAGTTTTGATACGAATCGCCTCTGCGGGGTGCGTTTTTTGGGCAGCGCGGGTTCCTGCACGGGCTCTTGGTCCCGTTTTGTCCCTTTTGGTCCCGTTTTGTCCCGGTTTTGTCCCTTTTGTCCCTGTGGACAACCCGTCCACGCCGGTGTCTTGTGTGGGATGGGGTGGGAACGAGAGCGACCTCCAGTGTCACCGTTGGGTTGGGGACAAGGAGGCTTCAGCTCGCGGGCTTGGGCAAAGCATTGGTGTCTCCATTGAGGTGGGTCTCCAAGTGCTCCATGGAGCTCCATGGGGCTCTCCAGTGTCATTCCCTGAGTGGCACCAAGTGCTCCATGGAGCTCCATGGGGCTCTCCAGTGTCATTGCCTGAGTGGCACCAAGTCCTCCATGGAGCTCCATGGAGCTCT